ACACCCTTATCTTTCCGTGAGAATCCAACGACTCCAGACAACCCTTCTTACTTTTCTTCTTCTGCCCACAAATGAGAAATGATGACAGCCCAATGATATTTAACTTTTCCACATCCGACGGCAAGATAATTTTGGAACAGATGGTGACGAGCACATCAAAGGCCTGACGCGCCAGCAATGTGTTCTCAGAGGCGGCTATCCGTATAACGTCCGTCACACCAAAGCGCAGAACGGAAATGTTGCCCTCATCCTTGGTGATAAATTGAATAAGCCGAAGAGACTCCTCCAAAAGCATCACATTATCTGTGTTGTTGTACTTCATTTTTGCCAAAAGAGTCCGGGAAAGGACTTGGCAGACGGACTTCATCAACCGCTTGTGGTACAGATGCACGCTCTCATAGGCACTTGGAACATACTCCATAATGAGTGCAAGTGCACGGAGGAGCATCGTCATGGTGTCCCCGCAAAAGCTAAAAAACTCCTTTTCTGTCATGCAAAGCAAAATTGGTATCGCCGTCGCGGCATCAAAACTTCGAAGATATGGTTCAACCCCCATCACAAGTGAAATGCATAATTTTTCCAGTGGCTCTAGTACTTTATCGGGATCATTTCTCTGGCACTGCACAGCCTTCAGCTGCTGCTTGGAGTTCTCCGTCTGTACCTCGGACTGTACACTCATATTTGATGTTGTTGTTTTTTTTCTTTTTTTTCTTCCTTGCTTCTTTCTTGTTGGCACCGCAGCTGCGTGCGTGACGGGTCCCACAGCCAGGCAGAAATACGAAGATCGTGGAAGCGGCTGCAAAAAAAAAAAAAAAAAAAAAAAAAAACCGACGAATAAACGAGATGTCGCGGCCAGAAGAAAAATAAAAATAAAATAAAAAACGGAAGACTTTCAAAAAAAAAAAAAAAAAAAAATCACGGCGAACGTGCACACAAAGAAAAAAAAAAAGACTAGCAAATCACCTAAAAACAACCAACAAGAAGAAGAAACAAACAACCAAAAAACAAACTGCAACACGTGAAAATGTGGGCGGCGGTCGCACCCAAAACTAAATAGCAACGGCACTAGCACACAGCCGCAGTAAACAAAACCTTTTTTTTTCCCCCTTTCTTTTTTAGTCGTGTATAAAAGAAAAAAAAATTCCCTTTTATTGGCTTCGTTCCCTTTTGTGATGTGTCTGTGTGTTGCTTTCTCTGGTGTGTGTGTGTGTGTGTGTGTGTCTGTGTGTGTGACGGTCACCTGTCAACACCACCACCACCACCCTCCCGTCTCGCTCCCTTCGGAATATCACTTCTCTCTCCATCGACGAAGAAAAGGCGGGAAAAGACAAAAAGAAAAAAAAGAGGGGAAAAAGAAGATGAAACACGAAGCATGCATGAACACATAAGAGAGTCGGTGGGTTGGGCAGTTCCCCCAGACATTGCAACGAGACCCTTTGCGCACGCACACACACGCAGCAGCGCCAACAGTTAAAAAAAAAAAATTTGAAATTAAAACTATATTTGAATCAGTGCAGCCGCGCAGTAATTTCACCAACCCCTTCAATCGTTGCCCGTACCTCGTCGCCGGGTTTCACGGCAGAAACACCCGCCGGAGTTCCAGTGAAAATGAGGTCGCCGGGCGCCAGCTCAATGGAATGCGACAAAATAGAGAGCAGCTCGTCGATGGGGGTGACAAATGATGACAAGTTGCCCTTCTGCCGACATTCCCCGTTCACACGCAGCTCAATTTCTCCCCGACGAAGAACAGTGGGCCCTCCCTGAGCTTTTGCATTAATCGCTTCTCTGTAATTCGCATCCGTCGCATAAAACAAAGCGGATGCCTTTTCTCGAATGAACTTCACGGGTACGATGGCCGAGAGTGGAGCGCTTTCGTCAGCACCCTTCGCCAAATCCCACGGCTTCCCATTCTTTTTTGCTTCCAACTGCAAATCCCGTCGTGTCATGTCAAGACCCACGGCGTAGCCGTAGATGACTGTGTGTGCTTCTAGAGGAGAAATGGCCCTGTACTTCTCCCTGCCACCTTGGCTTTCGCCAATGGCAACAACCAGCTCCACCTCGTACTGGTAGTTGTTGGTCTGAGGAGGATAACGGATGTTGACATCCATTGCCGCCGTATGGTTCGTCTCACCACTGACAACCGCATCAGGGGGCTTTGTGAAGAAAAATGGATTGGACTTGGAAACCTGCCCACCCATTTCCTTCGCGTGGTCCGCGTAGTTCTGCCCAACACAATACACGCGGCGGACGGGAAAAAGTAAATTACATCCTATCACTGGGACAACCGCATGCCGGACAGAAAAGGCCAGAGAAGACTTCATCAACTCCCTCCGTCTTTGAAATATTACACCTCTACGTATTTGTATGTGGGAAGATTCCTGTCACTCCACCTTCAATTTACTATCGTGTCAGCGAAAAAAAGAAAAAAAAATATTTTATGAGTAAAAATACATCGCCCTTCCCCTCTCCAAGCGCACAACAGAATACAAATTAAAAAAAAAAAAAAAAAAAGCAATTCAGGGTATTCAAGATGAATCACTACAATACTTTTAACTTCCATAATCAAATACATAAGCGCATGCAAATATATATATATGGCTCACCGAAGATCCGGTTTACAACTTCAAAAAAAAAAAAAAATAGGTAAATGGCGCGCCCATTGATGTTGATGGTTAAATTGCGTCGAGGCCTATCACGTGCTCTCTGAGCCATGATCGCTGACGCTGCAATTGTTCACGCTCTTCCTTCGATATGTCAACCTCGCAAGCTTCGGGCGAAGCCTTCTCTTGGTGTGACGCAGCCAAACCATCTATTTTTTTGCCCTCCCTCACGGCAACATCATTACTACCTAAACGCGGTGGTCGATATCGCCAAGGTGTTAAAAAATGGCTTTGCGAAGAAGTACGGGATATCGTTAAACATTGCCTCCGATCTGAGAAGCCACCGCTCTGCTCAGTTCTTGGCGACGCATTGGCCAAGACCTTGTCCATTTTGGTAAAGTCCACTTCATTTGAGCCTGGGGACCTGGATGGGGGTGCGTTAGAATCCCCAAACGAAACGGGCAGGCGTGAAGCGGGAGGCGTGTGTGACTCCGTTGACTTTTTCCACGCTTCGTATGCCGTGCTACTATGACTCTCATTTTTATCCGGTAAGTGTACAATAAGCTGTGAAGACGTGCTCGATTCACCGTCGCGGAGACCGAAATTAAAGAAATGAACAAAGAGTTGCCGGCGGCAGAGGTACATCACAGCAACAACCACCATGAGCGCTATAACAGCCGTCAGAACAATCATGGAAGCTTCCAGGCACGTCACCCGACCGCACATTTTCCTCGCTGACTCAGCGGAGAAATCAGTGAGGTAACAGTCCCCACCGACTGCCACCAAATGACGCGCATCGCCTGTCATTTTGTAATATACCTCGGAAGAACGTCCAAAAATGTACCTGTTTCTCTTCTTGTGTGATTTTTTTGCGTTAATTACCTCCAACGCGTTCTCCATGACGTACAAATCCTGAACGCGCTTACGGCAAGTTGGGTAAAAACCCATCGGCATTTGCGCCGACCCGTCGGCTTTCCACTCGCAGATAATTGTGGGATGTTGGAAGAAGCTCGCCCCTGCCCCTCCAAAATGTTCAGTGAACGCTACTTCCTGAGAGGGAGAATGAATAGAACACACCGCCAAACAGGACAACGATGGACTCGCGGAGGAAGCACCACACATAGAAGAAATTTCAGGGAGAACGCCCCCAAGTAAGTCCTCCTCAAATGCTACAAAAAAAGTCTGTGGTATTTCCTCTGACGCGGAGCACGCCGTGGCGTTCAGGTAAATCACAACCCGAAAACTTTCTATCCCACGAGACTCGGGTGCCACGGAGGTAAACTCAGAGGATTTCGTGCCGAGCCTGCCCGTTGCGGTGGTTGTGCCGAGAAGTGTACACATCAGCAATAAGAGTCCATACACTCTCATTGCGCTCTTTGTGATTCTACCGTTTTCCCTGCGGCGAATTACAAGAGACACATACTCACGGAGTGAAAAAAAGGGAGAAGAATCTGTAAAAGGGAATGCTCGATAGTACGGTGTAGCAACAGCTCAGAGAAAAAAAAAAAAAAAGAAAGATCGTATCATCATCACAAACGATGACCCCCTCCCCCACTCACGCCGAAAAGCCGGGCCGCTCCATGCCTTCAAGAAATTTGCTCCGGGACGTTAGAAACGCCTGCGGTTTGAGCTCTTCATCCGATCGGTCCCTGTTCACTCTCCCCGATAGAGAAAGAGAAGAAAAAAATAAAAATAAAAACAACCAAAAGGGCTGCAAGCATCATGAAGGTGAGCACAGCGAGTTGAAGAAAAAAGTCAAAGAAAACTCTGGGGCAGCACTGCGTGGGCCACACTCGAATTAGATTTCAGAAAGGAACAGGCTTCACTGAAAGCGCACCCTCATACATATTCCTAGCCGACGAGGAGAGTGCAGAGAAAAAAAAAGGCAAAGAGCATATCACGGTTTCACTCAGGAGTGAAGACCAAAACCACAGAGCATTTACATTTCTCCAGGCACCGTCCGCAACGGGTGGGTCCTTGGCATCCAAGGCAAATCCTGTTGCTGGTTGAAGCACAGCGATCCTGTGGTCCGTGACGGAAAACCACATGATATTATCATCATCCTGGATAGCCAATGAAGGATCACAACAATGGCGATTGCCGTGGCTCCCCAGAGCCAGAAAAGTGGCGTATCAACGGCGCAATCCCGCCAATTTATTGGATATACTAAAAAAACAAAAAAAAATGCTGAATATAGGGAGTTATCCTCATCACCGCCACGTCAATGTTGCAGCATCCCCACTGCTGTATGGGCATACACACATGGTTGTGTGGATGCAGACCCATTGCACCACTCCAGTGGGAATGTGAGCCGTTGGAATCCCCACATAATGGCCACAGGCATTCGAGGCAGCCACCAAACGCCCTTGAATAAAATTTACAGTAAAGAGTCGCTGGGTTCGGTACAAAACGAGTGCTGACGCAGTATTTCCCATATCCCACCTCATTCCCCTCGTCATAACCTCTTGGAAGGGGTGCAGATGCGCATGCACCCCTGCAGTATACTCTTTTTGTGAAGACGACAGTGTTCAACCGCATCCACCAGATCGTCCGGATGCAATGACCCCCGCCGCATGTTGCGGTCAGCAGCCAAGATGCAGAAAGTCCTATTCCTTGAAGTGCTTGTGAAAAGACCCACGAATGACCAAAGCGAGTGCGCAAATCACAAAATTACAGAAGGAAAACACGCAGGGACATCCTCGAACACACAGAATATAAGAAGGCATTGCCCAAATAAAAACGTCAAGACCAGTAAAACAAGATTTAAAAAAAAAAAAACTCGCTTCCTCTCTCTTTCTCTCTTTAAGGCCGTTCTCCTCATTCACACAGAGACCCAAAACACTACGAGCAGTGATAATCCCAGGGTTCTCTCAAGAAAAAGCAGCTGCAACAACAACAAAACAAAGCCTTTAGAAAAAGTAAGAAAAAAAGGGCATAAATAAATAAATAATATGTATCTTCTCCTCTTTACGAAAAAAAGAAATTGTGATGGCAGTGATCTCAGGAACAACAAGCAAACCGAGAAAAGGAGATGTGGGCCACCCAACAAAAACAAAAAAAAAAGTCTGTATGCACACTG